CATGTCCACAGGGTTGAAAACAATTATGCAAAGGGTCAAAAAGGGCCTCATTATACCACAGATACCCTTCACTTACAATGATTTTTCTGCAGCCAACAAATACCCTCAATTTGCTCCTGTTTTCATTTCCAGCTGAAGTGCTCTGAAAAAAAACAGCCTCTGTGTTTCGGCGAGGAAAGACATCAGCTTCGTTTTCTTCTGCTAACTGAACAGACACACAAAAGTTCTGCAGAGAAGAACCAAAATTAAAGCAGAAAAAAAGAAATAAAACCACAAATGAACTCTCAGGGATAAGTTGAAGAATAACACAACATCCTCTACGATCATGGGTAAAGTGTGTCAGTCCCAGAGAACACAGAGCCACAATAATCCAAATGAATCTTGCACAGGGAGGTTGAGTCGAACAAGCAGCGAGGACAGTTTCAATGAACAGTAACCAGATTTAATTACAGCTCTCCTACTCCTGTTTTTTTTTTTCCTACTAGGAACCACAACTGGGATTGTAAGATCCAAATGTCATCAAAAACAGTTAAATCAGGTTGAATTTAAACTGTTTCAACCGGATAAAATAACAGAAATGATTGATATGGTGCAGTAGATGTCTAACACTGTCATGATATGTTCTAGTATTTAGTTTCTCCCCTGTTTTTTTTGTTATCTGAGTTTATTTTCTGCATGAGCGCATGATCTCTGAACTCACCAAAATCTGCAAACCAAACATTATACTCCTTAGTGACGAACTGATCTGCTTGCTACCACAATCAAACACATTAGAAATAAGAAAGTTGACAAAACTACAGCAGAGGAACTATGTGCTCAGAGCCGGCACAGAGGATGACCTGGGCCTGCTGGGTTGCGTTCAGAGGTGACTTTGAAATCATGCAGATAACTCAGGGAAAAAAAAGGTTCGATGACCAGTGGAAACTTTAAAAAATGGCTTCACGAAATTAAAGAAAACTCAATCAAAGGCTTAAGTTTCAAAACTTGAACTAAGACGATGTTAAAGAAAATCAACGTGAATCAACACGTGGCGTAAAACTTAGAAGACTAAGAAAAAGTAAGACTAAGTAGTAAGAGCTAAGAGAAAACGAAAAGTTGAACTTAAGAGTAGAAGAGCAATAATAGAAGAGAGTGAGCAACAAGAGCATAAGAGGCAGAAGAGAGTGAGCAACCCCACTTTACTGGTTTTATCTTCTCACAGTGGGAGTGTCTCTTGCGTGTGTGTGTGTGTGTGTGTGTGTGTGTGTGTGTGTGTGTGTGTGTGTGTGTGTGTGTGTGTGTGTGTGTGTGTGTGTGTGTGTGTGTGTGTGTGTGAGGAGAAAGAGGAGGGGTTGTGGGGTCTCCAAGCAGAGGAGACCTCGGATCTCTGATTATTTGATCTAACTTATACTTATTTGGCTGGTAAAAGAGTCAGATCTGATACTCACTCACTATGATTAATATCATTGAATGCTTGGTTTCATGATAAATGATTTGATACTAAACACATATGAATGAAGTGTAGGATCACATCAAACATTCTCATTATGTTTCAAGTATCACGTTGAACATGTTTAATTACTCTGAAATGAAACAGATAGTAACACATAGAAACTGTGAACAACAAAAAGTAAACACGTGAATGAACGTCATCATGATTAATAATGGATTCTAAATACTGACATTCAGATTATTCAGTGACATTATAACCACCAAATTGTTAAAAAATACTAAATAAACGATTAAAATATAAACCAAACATTTCTAAACCATTTCTGTTACTTAGAGTAAAGTTGTGATTCATAGTCAATAAATTTAACTCTTAAAAGTTCATGAAACAGTCTCAAAAGCTGTTGGACTAAAGAAACAAAAGAATGAAGGATTTATTCGGTCAGAGTGATAACTTGGCTTCTGGAGCACATAGAAAAATATTTATCTCATTTATCTCATTATCTCATTTTAACACAAATTTCATGATTAGACAGATTAGTACATTGCTGAATGCATAAGATGTCATGATCAGTCATTTGTATTCTTTCACCAAAGGAATATAGTCTTTATCAGTGTATGGTCGAGCAGGGTTTTACGACCGAGGTCTGGAGGTCAGTGTCCTGCTCCTCAGAGCTTATCTTGGGGTCTGTATGTTCACACACTTTAAGACGGTAAATCTCAAATGGGAGATCTGGGTTGAGGCCTTAATGTGTATTTAGATGGTCAGCGATGGAGTCAGTTTGAAAGGTAATAAAAACTCTGTCTCTGTTCTCCGAATTGACCAATCGTGAAGAGTCAGAGGTTTGGTCAACCTCCGGTCGTGTCAGTTAGGTAACCTGAAAGTGCAAACAAGTCTGGAAAGATTTCTATCCTGTGTCCTGGGACCAGATAAGAAAACTTTCCTGCGAGGACTGTGTGAGTTTCACACACAGGGTTGTCTTGATTGCTACAGCAACATACAGTTGTGTGTCGTCAGCATAGCTGTGGAAATTGATGCCGTGCCTCCTGATGACATTTCCTAAAGGTAACATGTAAAGATTAAAAAGAGAAGTGCCTAAAATGGAACCTTGAGGAACACCACATTTCATGTCAAAACATTTAGATGAGCGATCCCCAAGGTTCACGTAAAATTGTCTATCACTAAGATAAGATTCAAACCAGTTAAAAACAGTGCCAGAGATGCCAATAATATTACGTAGTCTATCTAAAAAAAATTGTGGTTGACTGTATCAAAAGCTGCACTCAGGTCCAATAAAGCTAAAACAGATGGTCACTTCTTATCCATGTTGGACCTGAGGTCATTTACAAATTTAACTAAAGCAGTCTCTGTACTGTGATTTTTCCTAAAACCCCATTGATAAATTTCATAAATATTTCTGTGATTAATAAAATCATTTAACTGGTTTAAAACTATCTTTTCTAAAATTTTACTTAAAAATGGCAAATCGGATACAGGTCTGTAGTTGTCAGGCAGTGATACATCCAAACTGCTTCTCTTCAGAGTAGGTTTAATAGTAGACGTTTTAAAAGCAGAATGGAATACACCTGTCTGAAGAGAGTAATTAAAAATGGTAAGAAAATCGTGCTTGAAAAAGTCATAAAAGCTTTTAAAAAGGGATGCTGGGATGGGGTCTAAAAGACAGGTGGTTGGTTTGAGTTATCTAAAAACTTTTTCAAGCATCTTGGCCAGGACAAAACCCGCCAGTGTTTCCTCGTTTAAAAGCAAAGGTTCTGAAGGATAAAAACTAAAAGGCTAAGAAAGTAAAAGGTTTGATCTGATAAAACTTATTTTACTGCTGAGGTGGACTGCAAGGTCGTCACATGACAGGTTAGAATTATAAGGATGGTTAAAAACAGGGTTGATTAAATGGTCTATAGTTGAAAAAAGTTTCTGTGGGTTAGTTTGATTTTGATTAATTCATTTTGAAAAGTGTTCTCTTCTGGCGTGTTTGATGGCTTTTTTGTAGATGGTCAGTTGTTCTCTAAAAATCTTTTAATTGACCTGCAATTTTTCCTTTCACCACCTCCGTTCTGCTTTCCTGCAATTTATTTTTAGATTGGTTGTGTTTATATTTTTCCAGGGAGGCTTTGGTTTTGTTGATAATTTCTTGGTTTTTATTGGTGCCACAGTGTCCAGTGTTGATTAAAGTTTACTGTTAAAGTTTTCAACAATAAAATCACAAGAGGAAGGTAAAACATCTGGGGGGATATCAGTTAAGATATCAATAAAATCCGCAGCCACTTCAGCAGTAAGATGACACTTCCTGACAGTGCGTACTGGAATTTCCTGTTGCTTAAAATTCTTTACATTAAAAAAGACACAGAAGTGGTCAGACAAGCCCACGTCCACAACAGAGGTCACATTTCAGCTCTAGTAATCACCTATGGCCTATCAGCTTCTGTGACCTCTGTTGTGGGTGGGCTGTGTTACATGTTGCACAAAATTCATACAGTCAAGAAGGTTTAAAAATTCTGTGCTGAAAGAGTCTGATTGATTGTCAACATGCAGATTAAAATCACCTAAAATAATAACCCTTTTAAACCTTGAATAGATAGATGTTAGTAGCTCTGAAAATTCTGGGATAAAATTTGTGCAACGCATAGGTGGTCTGTATACAGTTAAACAAAGTACGTGGGGACTGTTAAAAACAAAACAGCGGTGTTCAAAAGATAAAAATTTATCAAATAAAATGTTTTCAAAACCATGCTGTGCTAAAAGAATTGTAGCTGTCCCCCCACCTCTTTTACCCCATCTGAAAGAATATAAAAATTTGTAATTTGGTGGAGAGGCCTCTATCAGTGTTACAGGTCCATCTGTGCTTGTTTCAGTTAAAAACATAAAATCAATTTTATTATCTAAAATAAGGTCGTTTATCAGAAAAGACTTGTTTAAAAGAGATCTTACATTTAAAAGTGCCATTTTCAGTGTGGTCTGTGAAGGTTTTGGGGGGATCAGCAGGGGGGTATATTTATTTATAGGTTTAACATTGTTGAGATTTGCACCTGAGGCTGGTTTTGAATGACTGCTGTGCTTTCTGAAAGTACTGATAACAGGAATAAGGTCGGTGGGGCATGCTATGGAATTATGCTTGGACTGTCATGCTGAAAAAGCCTTGCAGGAGCACAGATTAAGTTCAATGTTAAGTGATAAAAGATGGGAACCAGTGTAGTTAGGCTGGAGACGATCACATTTGAAGAGATTGGTTCTTGTATAAAATGATGTGAAGTTGTCCACATAAGGAATGCCCCTGTTGTAACAGTAGTCATTGAGCCAGATATGAAGTTGTCGTAAGCGGGAGAAATAAACGTCACCAAAGCGGGGTGAGGGAAACGGACCAGAAATTACGCACTGTTTCCCTGCATCTAGGAACACTGTCTATTAACTAAATAAAATCATTTCAGAGTTTCTCAGACTGCTGAGGGTGCAGATCATTTGATCCTACATGTGCCACCATGGTGGACACGGAGAAGTGATGACGTAGGAGCAGAGGGAGGGCATTTTTAATATCAACAAGTTCCCAGGAGGACCCATGGATCTTCTGGCAGGGCTGAACCAGCTTCAGGCTCCGAAACCCGTGATAATGGATCCGAGCCATGTAACAGTGAGATCAGAGACCATCCCTGGAGCTGCTGCTGGAGCTGCTGCTGGAGCTAGGCTGCGAGAGAGGCAGGCTGGGAGAGGCATTGGGGAATCCATGACTGGAGGCACTCATGACAGCGAGGTGCTTGGCCTGGGTCGTGACCACTGTTGAGAACTCCAAAATAAGATTATTCTTCTCCATAACCTCCGCTCTCAGTGGTTGCAGTGCTTTTCCTCAACTTCTAGATGGTGAGTGAGCAAGACACAAATTCAGGCTTGCCATCAGCCATGGTAGCTCCGATAAAAGGTATGATTATTAGAATTACTTACAAGTCCAGGTCCTCGACAGTCTACAGGGCAATAAAATCCAATGAAAATAAAAAGATCAATATAAATAAATAAAAAGAATAAAAATCATACGATTAAGAGCACTAAAAAGGGGTGTTGTAGCCTGAGAGGTGACCACAATACACCGGCCCGCCAAAGGGCACTACACTTCCATAGTAAATTCGGTCAGTAACTCCTTATTGTGGCATCTGATTATCAAAGTTTTGATTCCCAGTTAAAAGACATAAAGAAAAGATCATGCGACCACAGATAAAACTTAAGTTTGTGACTTAAAAACAGGTTAAAAACAACAATTTTCTGTCATCGATCTGTGTTGGACCCAGACGTGCCACGCATGCACAGGAGCCGGTGTCCCCAGTGTCTCCTGTGATTTTTTTCAACCAGTCCCTTTTGTCGGCTTTTGGATTTTTTGTTAGACAATTTGGGAAGTTTTTGTTTTTTAAGTTCTTCTTAAATAAATCCTTTTTTGTGCTCTGCATTTTGGGTCCTTTCCTTTTTGTTTAATTACAGAAATTGACATAACACGTTTAAAAACTTCTGGATTATTATCATGTGAGAGTTTTGATCCAAGAAAACTGTTTTTTCATAGGAGTCTCCCAATGATCAGGACTTGGTCTCCTGCATTTCTCACTCAGTACAATAATCCAATCTCATTGTTTCATATATCAATGCTATGCAGACTCCTCCTGTCAGTCTCTCCAGGTGACACTGCTGTCTCAGCCTGAATCCCATCATGCCTCAGTGATGTTTCTAAATAGATGAAGAAATCCACCTTCAGATAGACCTGTCCAAAACTCATGTCATTCCAGCAAGTCCTTTCATACAATCCCGAAACAGGATCCAGCTCCAATCACGTGAACTTGTGCCCACTAAGTCTCCCCTGAAATTGTCAAACCTCTGCAGATAATCCAGAGGTTTGAGAGTTTCAGCCAGCAGCCCATCTGGTTTTAGTAGATGGGGTGATTATGATAAATGTGATGATGACAATCATGGTGATGGTGAGGATGGTGATAATGACAATGATGATAATGATAATGATCATGATCATGATCATAGTGATGATATGAGGATGATAACAATGATAATGATGATAACAATGATGATAATGTTGATTAAGAAAATGATGGTGAGGATGATGACGATGATAGTGATGATAAAGAAGATGATGGCAATGATGTTGATGATGTTGATGTTGATGATGGTATGAGGATGATTACAATGATAATATAACAATGATGACGATAATAATGATAAAGAAGATGATGATGACAATGTTGCTGATGATGATGACAATGGTGATGATAATGATGATAAAGAAAATGATGAAGATGATGATATCGGTGATGATGATGATAATAAAGAAGATGATATTGAGGATGGTAAGGATGATGATGATAATGACAATGATGAAGATGATGATGATGATGATGATGATGATGATGATGATGATGACAAGTCCAGATCTTTGCTTATGTTGGACTAGCCCTTAAATGTAAAACATCATTCGGTGGACTTTTAGGGTAGAGCTGACCCTGTCTGGTTAGGTTCTTAACAAAGGGGCTGAGATAACCAGGATCCTCAGGGGGGTAATACATACACTATTGAGAACTTTCATACAGTCTCACTTTGAATGACCGAACCATTCTCTTAAACCAGACTCGTCTCCACTCTTTGTCATATATTTGTTCTGTAGTCACTTAATTATTCAGAAAAGAACAGTGCACAGTTACAGACAGATGAACAGGGTACAACATAAATCATCAGACCAGCAGTGTGAACAGGGGAGCTGTGTTGGTTTATAAAAACTATAACAGGAACAAACCTCTAGAGATCCTGCCCAACTTTCCTGAAACTTTCAAATCCCCAAGGGAGAGAAAGGTGGACACTTCCTCTGAAGTGGACGGTGCAGAGTACTTTAAAAACTATACTTCAGTCCTGCTCTGCTGTTTTTGCTGCTGCTCCTGCTGCTGTATGACCACAAACTAAAGACACCTTCAGCATCACCTTCAGGGACCATAAACATGAATAAATCTCACAGACGTCAGTGTCGAGCAGTCAGGTATTTTAATGTGTGTTGATGTTATTAAATCCTCCCTGGGGGGTATTCCAGAAAGCAGGTTCAACATACTCTGAGTCTATCCCTGAACTCTGAGTTGACTTACTCTGAGATGGGAGACTCTGAGTATCCGGTTCAAGAACAGCTGATCTGAATTAGTTCAATCAACTCTGAGTATGATAACCTGGAGTTACACGCGTGCACAACCACTAAAAAAAGCCATCATCAGTGGAGCCCCGATACCACGAGTCACCATGACAACAGAGAAAAAACGGTCAACTTATTTCACCCCGGTGGAGTTGGAGGTCCTTATGCTGGTCTACGGCGAGTATGAGAACATTTTTCGCCGCAAATCCAACACGGCTGCAGCAGCGAAGGAGAGAGAGATGGCATGCGAGAAAATTGCTGCGCGAGTCAATGCGTAAGTTTGAATGTACTATTCCATTGACATAACATATAAGATCGAAGCATAGTCTATAGTTATGAATATAAGTAGGAATTAAATCAAATTTTCATTTAGGTGCAATCCAACGGGAGAAAAATGGACTTGGAAACTGCTCAAAATGAAACATAAAAACATAATTCAAAAAGGTAAGGCATATTTTGCTAGGCTGTGATTGCACCTCACTTTGATTTTAATTTAATTATTTTAAATGGACTTAGGCAATTAGACAAAGTCAATATTAATTTAAACTAAAATATTAATTCAGCAGCAAATAATAATTTAAACCCCAAACAAAATGTAGTTTTTCAACGTCCTCTCACTTAATTCTACACTTCGTGGATTAACACTTGATACAAACACATTTATATTTTAGACCTATTGAAGTCATTTAAAATGTGACGCTGTAGCCTACACCAACACTGATTAAAATACTATTTTAAAATAAACATTGACTTCTGCTCAGCCAACAGAAAGAAGGCAGAGGCCCGAAAAACGGGTGGAGGGCCACCTCCACCACCTCCGACAGAGGCTGAGGAGCTGGCCCTCAGCCAAAACAGGGGTCACCCTGTGGCTGATGGCATCCCCGGGGGAAGCTCATCTGAGCCTGTCACCCCCCAGGACACAAGTCCCTACATCAGATGCAAGTATACACTTATGTCTTTTCAAAAAATAAAACTAATATATAAATATATATAGCCTACTTTTTAACAAATATATATCCACCCACCCAACAGTTGTGGATGGTGTCATCTGCCTGGTTGAACCTCCAACAGAAACAAACCCTGTAGTTGTAAGTCTTTCATACTCAGATGCCTCAGATGGTAGTTCAAAGTATTCTGAAACAGTATATTTTCCTGCATTACAGGAGGAGGAGGAGGAAGAAACACTGTCTGCTGACACAGGGAGAGATCCAGAGGGGCCTCCTGAAGTGTGTCTTAATATATAGCTACTGGCAGTGCCCATTCATTTACATTCTAGGGTGGAATTTGGAGTTTGACATGTACAATGAATAGATGAGCATCAATAATGGACAAACTAGCTCATTCTTGTCCCTCAACAGAACATGGCTGGGCATCGCCAGGAGGAGGGTCCATCAACCTCAACGGCACAGCTTGACAAAGTGAGATTTTCGGTCAATACCATGTTAAATCTGTATATAGAACTGTAGGAATTAAATGTCGTCCATGTTTCCCAGCTCCGGGGTTAAGGAGTTGTACAGGGTGCACCTCGTGACCAGTATTAAAAAAACAGAAAAAGAAATGGTCTATCTGGATCGGCAGATTGCAAAAACAGACCTGGAAATTCTATTACTGGAACGCCAGTTGAGGTGGGCGCATAGTCATGGTGAATATGTGAAATATGTTAATGGTTGGAACTATATTACAAATCCTGACTGTTGCTTTTGTACTCTTAGGGAATAAAGAAGAACCAAATCACATATGCATTTGTTTTTATTTTTTTAAATCAAAATTTATTTTGGGCGATTAGGTCCCTAACCACCCTTCCATCCTCATCAGCCAGGATGGGATGCTCATCCTCGGGGCCATTGATTTGTATGGCAGGGTGTTACTCTCCTCTAAAAATTGCAATATTATGGAGAACAACACATGCCACAATGATGTCACATGCCCTCTCTGGGGTGACCCTGAGCTTACGCAGGCACTGGAACCGGGATTTGAGTATGCCTATAGTCATCTCAACCCGGGCTCTAGTCCTGCAGTGGGCCACATTAAAACCTTGTTGGGGCCCTGGCTCAGGGTCAGGGTAAGGGGTCAACAGAGAGGGCTGGCATGGATAGCCTCGATCCCCCAGCAGGTAGCCATCAAACTCTCCTGTAAATATATAGGACACATTTGAGTGCATTAAAAAAGGGAGACAAAGAACATCTGTACAAAGCTTTAGCTTCCTTACCACGTGCAAATCTGTTGCTCAGACTACACTCCCGGTAGATTCGGGAATCATGCACCGAGCCAGACCACTTGGCCTCCACATTCGTAATGATGGATGCTGCATCACATATGATCTTTACAGTGCAGAATGACCTGAGTTAGTTGTAATGTATGCATGTTCATGTATAGTTTTTTTTTAAGATGGTAGGTCACATACCTGGACATTGATGCTATGAAAGGATTTTCTATTGACATAGTCCCCTTCATTGTGAGTTGGCACAGTGATAGGGATTTGTGTCCCATCTATGCAGCCTATCACATAAGAAAGGCCTGCAAAATGACAGATAATTAAGCTACTGACCCCACTCTGAGGCCGCAGCATAATGTAGGCCTATATCATAATTTAGAATAGAATAGAATATAATATTCCTTTA